GCTGGGATCGTTATATATGGAGTATTTCCTGCCATTTTTTCATTGGGATATTGTATTGAGTCATGCCACAACTAACGTAACGAGAAAAGCACTTGTAGTCCATTCAAACATTAAGCAATCTCTTTGAATTTTTCCTTCGGCATTCATTAGTAAGTCAATAGCTTAACGAGTCTGTGTTTGACTATTTGGATGGCATAATGGTTAATCAATGAAGTGCACACTTCCCTTTGGTATGGTGGGCAAGGGATGTGGTGATGCAGCACAACCACGCCTTGCAGCATTACAAGAAGCCGATAATTAAAAAAGAACCGAGCGTTTATTGTATAATGCTTGGGACTCAGTTTATAACCACTTATTTGCAAATTCACCTGCGATCCGACGTTGTATCCGTATCAAATTGACATAGACAGGACATCAACCCAGAAATCTCGTCAACACTATTGTCTTTTGTGCTTTTGCCGCCTGAAGCATTTTCGCCATTTTCCTTCTGTTTTCAAACAAGCCTTAGAATTTTTCCATATCCTCGTTCGTTATTTAGGTGAAAAAGTTGAGATTGTATAAAACACGCAAAAAAGTTGAAATTGTGTAATACACACAAATTACATGCTGTGTTGTAATAGCCATGGAATTAAATCGTATAACGAAAATGCATTTTTATAACTTATCCATGTTAAAACTATGAAAATGCAAAGTATTTGTGTCTAGAAATTGCTTAAGGATAGAAAAACGATCTAATCAATCCAGAGATTATAGCACCAATTACTTTGATCCGATACAGAATATCGACGTAACACTAACAACAGCACTCAAATGCATTATGAACCGATGTAGTGGAAAATGTGATTTTCGATCATGTCTCCTAAACCGATCACTTTGTCGATGTTCTAAAAGCTACGAGCCCCTGAAAACAAGACGTTCCATGCTGCTGTGATCGGTTTAACTGTGGCATCCTAGCGAAGTGTTTTATAAAGAACAATTGCAAATTAAAAACACAGCTAAGAAAGTCAGCTTATGTATGGACCTTTCCAAGGGCTTTATCAGAAGAAGAGATAACGATACTAAAGTTAAATCCTTATTTCTTTTTATGGCTTGCGGATAAAGCGATAAAACTTGAATGGGGCTTTATTTTGAGCCATATTCCTCGATAAAACTAATAATCGAAGGCAATTTAGCGAAACGTATCTTTAGTCAAGGCAAACCATACAATGACAAGGCTGGTATTGTTTTCATTATACCAATGAGCGCAGCTGAGATACAACCAGTAGGGCTTGGCTAGTAACTTGAAAACGTCAGACTTTTTTAACAAGAATGGAATGAAAAAAGGTGAAATGGATTTGCCTATCTGTAACTATAGTACTGTCTTACGCTACCAGGAAAATAAATTGAATTGTCGCGGCTATCAAGTATTTAATTTGCGAGACTGACATATGTCAGCCTTGTATCTATTCTCTGCCAATGTTAATACACATGAATACGAATTCGATTATAATGAATCCTAGGGTAATCGTTGATAAAATTTACAGCCCAGGACAACGTTACGAGGCTGGTGAAAACCAAATTGCAAACTACGACTGCATGAAACGAGAAGCATTCTACTGCTTCAAGCAGCTTTTACTTAATTCTCAATTTGTTGTTAACTACAAACAAAGTTGTTCCAAGTAAACTTTTGCTATTTTGTTTAGAGGTTATTGATTCAATTCAATACTTTATACTTTCTATGAATATTCATATCATGATGCGATCTTTGTAAGCAACTTCAGCGTTAAAACTAAAAGTGAAATACTTTTAACAGTCTCAGTAAGTTACACAACAAACTTCCTTAGGGAAAAAGCCGTAATTAACATCACTTAGATATAAGCCCAACTGGCAATGCAGCTCTATTAGAAATTGTTCGGTTTCCGCAGGTGGAGGAAGGCTTTTAGTCCTCTACCAACATGAACCTCTCTTTACTCAAATCCCAAATTCCTTGATAAATTGTCATGCGACAATTCAATAAGCCTGGCTCAGAATTGCATTTATGAATAATCTTTTACACAAAACTAACATTATGTTATTCGCTACAAAGATCAAAGGAACGTAATCGATACCATTATCGACATTGCTTTCTTGAAAACCAGCACTGAATTCTGCTTTCTAATCGACATAACATTGGAAGAAATCGTGAAAATCCATCAAATTGTGTAGTGTACAAAGGATTCAGTTTCACCTAGGAACGATGTTTTTGTATAATCTGGATAGCTTTACCCAACATAGCTTTAAGGGCAGCCCAATTTGCACTGCTAAAACCCAGTCCAGCTTAATTCTACCTCACAAGAGAGTAAGAAGATACTAACAGGCTACAAGATACTAACAATTTCGATGGGATAAATTTTCGGTGAAGCAGTGCAACCAAAAAAAACCCTGCAGAATTTTGTTTGAAATCAAAATTTTTTCTTACCGAATTTTTCAAACGCTAGAAAAATCTCGTTTACACTGATGGATTTTCAAAAAGGCAATTTTTGGTACTTAATAGATTTTTGGCACCGGAGTTTTTGGGCACTGTAATTTTGTTTGTGCGCATGCGTTGAATAATAGGAACTAAGGAAAAGGGTTTTTGCGCAATAAGTAGCTTTGCGATTGCTGTTTCTTTTGCGCGAGGAGAAATTGGCTGTTTTTGGTATTTTTATGTAAAACAATATTGGGCCGGTTTCGAAAAAATATTCGCAAAACATGCGGGTTGCGCAAGAGCCTTTATCAATGGCTCAGATTTGCACGATACATTGAAAATCATTTGCCCCATTCAACCCCGATAGTTCGTCTTTCTAAAGTTTTATCTATCTTAGTTCATTCAAACGGGGGTTAACTAGAAGAACGTAAACAGGGCTTTATTGGGTTTCAAAGATTAATTCCGCTTCATGACATTACAATGAAATTAAACCTTTTATAAATAGGAAGGGAGGCCCTTAGGGAGCCCCGACTGTCATTGAAAGCACGACCAGCGCTTAGTCGAATGATCAACACCTAGAGGCTCAATAACAGCATAACACTTTTTAACGGTCTGAAATGTCTAGCAACATCTTAACATGTGATTGATTACAACTACCCCTGATACACATTGCAAGGACTACTTGTGGTGGTCAACGGATCCCGGAATTTTTACAAACTACTAGGCCTAACAATACTTTGCTTGTTTTGTGCAATTTTTGTGGTGCTCATATTACTGAACAGAATACGTCACAATCGTGTTTTTGTGTCATTTAACTATTGCCAAAAATGTAAAATGACTAAGGAAGAAAGGCAAAAAACTGCTGATTTCCATAAAAAGTGTAAACAGGCTTTGAGCATGTTTAGAACAAGGACGAATTTCGGTATTCTTACAAACAGCAATTCAAGCTAGTGGTACTTTATTTTCTTGATGAAAGAAAGCTTGCAATGCCCCCCTGTGTCCTTTGCAGAATGGAGCTTTTCTCGATGCTGAACAGAGGAAATTTCATTTCAGTTTGAATGAAACAAAATACGAATTAAACTTATTGTTCGCGTTTAGCCACCATCCAATATGAAAACCGTATTCTTAATTGAAATTAAATGGAATCTCGAGAAGTCCTTTTGTCTTTACATCCCGAGCAAATTGTAAGTTCGAAGTAGAAAATCAAAAGTTTACAAACTTATGAGGTCAAAACGTCAGGATACATTTGTTTCTTTGGTGTGTCATACAGTTAATTTTATTCTCCAGGTACGAGCGAGCATGTGTTCAGGGTAGTAGAAAGCAGCTGGTATGACTTTGGACTTCATGTGTTTCATGTGAGTGCATAGGTCTCTTAGCCATCGGAATTTTCGAGAGGAAATGTGGAGATAAAAGATTCTTATCTTTGATTATTTTCAAAAGTAGGGGGTTTGATGTCCTAAAGCCTTTGATAAACACACGGCCTTTGGAAAGTAAAAGACCGTAGAAAAAGGAGACGACCACAAAAACTCCTTAAAATCAGTGCCATCCTTTCAAATGTCAAAGGATAATGAATGGCTAAAGAAACATTTGAGATAAAAGGAAATTCCTTGCAAGGGAAAGAATCTACTTTGGTGCTAATGTTCGGCTATCGGAAACTGCATTTCAGGGGAAGAGGATGAAGGACAGATTTAGAAAGGTCGGCCGATTCGTGTAGGCGTTGCTGCTTTTTCAAGCATCAAAATAAATTTTTTTTAAGAATAACGGTATAAGCATAAAACATAGCAAACGACATGACGCTAATACAGTAAAAACTGAGACGCTTTGGGATAGAGAGACAAGCGAAAAGGACTCAGTTTGCTCAAGATAAAAGAACATAATAATGTGGTTAGGGTGAGCTTAGTTTTTCGTTAGGGCTTGACAGTGTATCATATGGTAATAAAGAGCATCTCAAATGTTCTACTTTAATAAGCATTTCTTTCTATCAGGCCAGGATTCTGTGAATAGTTCAATTTACAGAATACTCAGGTCACCCAAAAGGGCGCAATCTCGATAACATTTATAGAGTTGTTCAGATCGGTGAATCTAAACTATTTCTTGATTTAGAAAGCTAAAAAAGCTGCTTTTCGGCCTCTTTGTTGAATATTTGTTGAAAGCATTGAACAGGAAATAACGTAATGAAAATTTTGTCTCGAGACAATCTCGGCATCTTGTACAGAAACGGCGACATAAGGTTATAATGGAGTGCTATTGAGTAGTGGGGAACGGGAAAGACGTGCTCGACCACAGACTTTATACATTGTTTTTTATCTAAATGGATGGCACAAAGGAAACAAGGATGCTTATTTGCAACTAGGCAAATTCAGAATCTTGAAAGGTCAGCAAAACATTGAGTGTTTAGAAAATATTGCAAAATTCAAGGTTGTTGAACAGCCTTGCACCAATCGTAGGATAATAACATTAAAATTTTGAAACTCTGTAGCTCTACCGAGTTTTTGAACTGTATCAGGCTAACCCCACAGAACTCTTTTCTAAATCGTGCACGTCAATCGTGATGAAAAATGCAGCATAGACTTACCCGGGAAGATACACGAATGGCTGGCTGTTGGCACAGTCTGCTATCTTGGTGAACACAAAAACAACAAGAAGCAATAACAATGTAAGCATCCGCGCACATCCGTGTCCATCCATGGCTCTAATCGAATGTGGGTTGGCCAGATGTCAACTGGTGTTTGAAACTCTCTTGCATGCCACCGCAGCTATCAGCAACCAGGCATCGTCTCGAGGCTGGGAATGCGACCAAGAATCAATCTACTGTATTCCGGCTATGCTGGTTGCAATAGGTTTTTTATTTCATTTTTATTAAAGAAAAATTGAAACTTCTATCATGATACTGATTATAATGGCCATCGCACTTATGAAGAAAATGGTTAAATGACAGGGCCTTGCACGAAAGGGGTACCGATGGTCATGGTTCCCCATCTTTATCAAAAACAATAGAGCCTTTCTCAAAACCTTTTGTTATGGGTGTCAAGTTTTCACATGCAACACCTCCCCCCCCCCTATTTTTCAACCTGTAAAAGACGTTTTGATTATCAAAATTAACTAGACGATCGATTGATGATTCATTATTATCACGATTGTTCTGATGGTTGCAATGATTATGACGCTGAACGTGCTAGAAATCAGATATTTGGGTGCTCAGAAATCCTATTTTTGGCATGGCCGTCTCTTTTGTAGTTCTCTTAGGAAAAATTTATTGTTTCTTTGACAGGCTGTCAATAGATTTCGCAAAAAAAGTGTTGTTGGTTTATGATGATTGATTGCGATAAGAAATTTTATTATGATTATGATTACGAATACAATGATCATGGGGTGTGTTATGGATACTTAAAATATCATTGAAGAAATGAATGCAGTTTTCTCTCATTCTATAACTATAACTATAACTGTGCAAAAGGCTAAGAGCCTGTCACAAATCTTTGGAATGACTTCACCCTGCACAGACCATTATACTGAGAGACCACTCATTTGCCCAAAGAATGCGCCCAACGATTAATCAACGTCAAGTATTTTATAAAACATCGTTAATAGAAATCAGGTAATCTTTTAATTTATGCTTCTTCATTCAAACGTTACTCGTTTCCATGGTTTTTTTTGCGAAATGATCATAATAAGCATCATGATTATTTACATGACGTTACGCATTTTGAACACGACAGTCGTGATAAACATGATTGTTATAATGATCTGTTGATAATTGTTATGATGATGATTATGACCACAGTGGCCATGACTTGATATTATAAACACAGTAACCATACAAATAATCATGATTGTGAGGTCTCTTTGGTGAACATGATGCCGTTTATGATAGTTCTCTCGTGTTTGTGTGTTACAGGAACCTGCTTTTGGGTTGTAAATCTGTTGTGTAGTTCTATCGTGACAGGATTTTGATCCTTCTCTGATGAACCTGCCAGATTTGGTTGTCTATAAATAGTTCTTTTGTATAGCACTGACTTCCTCTTCTGTGCATGAAAGATTAGCCAAAATTTATTCAACAGCAAATAGTTGCCTTGTTAATAACAACAGATTACAATTTGCTTCTATCTATTTTTTACACTTGTAAATCAGTAATTCCATTTACATTCGGAGATAAAACTATTTTGATCCATTTTTATTCCTGTATTTAATACTGCTATTTCCTTTTCATTTCACTCAGCATTCCTTTTTCCATTGATGTGATCATCGAGATTTGAAACTCAATTCTAAAACGCTTCCATTCACATTCTATCAACCACATCACTAATTAGTTACCTCATTCATTCCTTTCCCCTGTTACAGAAGGGCTGCTGATAGGGGCGGGTCAAAGAACATTGCTTTTTATTTGAGTTAAGATTTTCATATACCCCCGCATACAATTTCAATTTCTGTAGAAAAGTTCAGTCGTATCACCGAAGAAACATAACTTTGAGCTACCCATACTGTACAGTGAGCAAATCTGTACATTATAATAATAATAACAATAAAAAATAACAATCATTAGACAGGGTAGCATCTTCAACACACGAGTGCTGATATCAACGAGGGCCCTTTATCTAACTGCTATATACTACAATAAAATCTTACAATCAATGAAAAAATATAATAAATATTTATGACTGTTTAGAATTAATTTTAACTGTTCATACAAAATTGTTTCAGTTTACTTTAAAAAAGATTCGTTTCTAATTTGAAACTTTTGAACTTGTTTTTCAATTCTTCCTTACAACTTTTACAAGTTTGTTGTCTATAAGTAGGGCACAGAACGTTGAATAGATTTTTTACAGTGCCAGAAACTTTTGCTTATTATAAAAATGCATCATATGTCTCCCATATGAGACCAGAATGCCAAATGAGTTGATCAAAGGACACTTCCTTTCATTGCGACAAATTTTAAAAATTGAAAACTTCAAAACTTTCTGGAAATTTATTTGCCTTCAAAAGGCACTACATTTTTTAGAAAATTATGGAAACTCGTTACTTTTTCAGAAATTTCCTGAAAATTATATATCTATCACTTCACACTGCGTACCTTGTGAAATTTCATCGCACCCATTGATCTTCTTGCTTTCATTTTTCGCATTTAAATTCACTGTGTTTAATGCTTTACTTGAATATGAGACTAGAGAAAAGGAAATTAATCGTATTCGATTTACGTTGGTTTACTTGGGCTAACATAATCATGTTTGGTTTCTCTTGCCACCCAGAGAAGCTGTAGCCAAGCTTTGCCTTCTCTTTTAACCAAACTTAAACAAGGAACACTTTCAGTACTATCCCATGCACGAGAGCTACAAACAATGCTTTTGAAAAGTATACTCAATTTTCACTAAATTTCTTCAAAAGCGAGTGAACTGAAACATCCTTCAAAATTGCCTTTCATGAAGCCCGGTTCTTTGCTCCTGGCTGACATCTTATTTGTCAAATGTCTATCATTTTCACAATGTATGTTTATCCAACATAAACATTTTTTGAAGCAAGAAGACTGCAGCTAGTCATGATTTATAGGTCTACTTAGAACAGAAACAAATCTTTCAGTCTGAAGTTCTAAAATAACTGCAGACACGCGTTCCTAGTTGACTTTAGAAAGTTATTGGTCCGAATATTAGAATTTTAGGTAGTTCTTCTTTTTTATAAATTAAGATTTTAGAGTTTAGTTAATATGGATTTTGACCCCGCCTATCCCGTCCTGTCCTGTCCCGTATAAGCCGATCCTGTAGAAAGGCCCATAGGCTTGTACCTGTGTAGAGACTAACTGGGACTTCTCCTCATTTACATACGAAGATATATAAAAGTATAAAAGATGTTAATTTCGACTTCAAAAATGATCCATAATGTTTTTCTCTATAGACATTATCTTTGACTATACATTTTGTTATTTTATTGTTTATAACACGTTCATCGTCTAGAATAATAGAGTTGCATAATGGAGTTTAGCAAAAGTTCCATTTTTTTCTAGCTTTGCCATCAACTTTGTTTTAAGAAAATTTCTCTGGTATAATTTTGCGGACCTGGTCTCCTTTGTACTCCTTACTCCTTGCCTCTTCCCCTTACCCCCTGTCTCTGTCTGCTAATGACCAAAACATGCTTGTTTGTGTATGAAGCTACACTCTTTCTTATAAGAACCAGTAAACTTAAGCTCATGCTGACTGTTCTCAATTTTTTTTGAAAATCTGAGGCTAGACTGTTCTTAATTCATTCTTATGTTAATAGGATGTAAGCAGTGTAAATGCTAGCATTTTCGCTCCAGAGAGGTGATCAGGCCTCATTTGCTAACAAAATGTCATGGAAGGTAAATAGAGATTTGGAATTTTTAATATTATGGAATTCTATGGAATCTTTATTTTTCCTCGATCCACGTTCAGTTTATATCCACAGAATTAGTTGTAAAGTTGTGATGCAGTAGTAAATTTACAAAACGAACTCTGGCAGTAACTATTTCTTTTACTCGAGCCATGGCTTTAAGATAATGCAATGCGAATGATACTTCAGTGGGGACTGCTGCTTCTTCTTAAAGATTCGCCTACCGAATAATCTAGTCTTTTTCTTGTGCTTGACTCTTCAATGTGAAACATTAACAGGACTGACAGGACTGATCACTGGACAGGACTGATCACTGGTTTCTTGGAATGTGATGGCGAGAACTGCAACTTCTGGTAGTATTTGATCGAAATGGTTTTCGAGATGATAAACCTGAAAGTTTTGTAAAAAATATCGAATTTAAGTACGTATTAAGTCTAAAATACAGACAGCAAACCATTTTAGGGGATGATTACTAAAAATTGAACTGAACCTTCTTGTTATGATAATTTAGCTATGATCTTATGATTAAGATATGAAATTTTCGTACAGCTGTATAGAAAATGAATTCGATGAAAATATCTGCAAGCTGGCCACAATTGTTACCATCGAATATCTGAGAATGATAATAAGAAAGGTAAATCTTAATTTCGAAACAATCACCCAGCAACTGTGTTCAACAAGCTTGGTGCTACGTGTAAGCAAGGAACCACACCTTCTGCCAAAATAATCAGTATACTTTCCTTTGTAGTTTGTTATTAGGTCTGCCAACTTTAGTTCAAGTTTCAGTAAGGACGACGCTTCCTCACAACTCAGATATTCATTCATTTTCAACTCGGTAATTCTTATGAGTTTGAGGCTAGTTTTCTTAACTTTTTCAACTTTTTTTCTAGAAGAAGGTTGCTGGCGCAAAATTACTGAAATCCAAATCAGACGGAATTTTCATTAATTGATGTTCAATTTCAATTATAGTACTCTGTACCCACTTGTAATCAACAGCTCAACTTTGCTATTCCAGCTACAAATGTTATGTTGCTTAGAAATTGAGCGATTTTGGTGAAGTATTCACTTGACCACGCTCCAATTTTTAGACCACACTCACCTTGGCCCTCCTCAGTTCTTCATGACCGGTTAAAAATCCTGAGCCAGTCCACCATTGACTTCATCAGGAAAGCACCCACACATGGCAAAAAATCTTTATTAAAGTGACGAAAAGTTGCTTAAAATTACATTTTACAGTAGCTCAGCCTCAGCTTGCTCTTAATTTGTTCTTAACTGTTGACCAATTTTTCGGCTCATGTTCTTATAAAATTGTTCTTCTATAAAAAAGAGTGTAATACCTTTTCTGATATCCAGATTCAATCCAAGTATTCATTAGATCAAACAAGGGTATATTTTT